ATGTATATATATACATATATATGTATTTATATATGTATATGTATATATAAATATATTTGTTTGTATGTATATGTATATATATTTGTATATATATGTGTATATTTTTTTATTTTGTGTATATATTTATATTTTTATTTGTATATATATATATATATATATTTTGCTGTTTATTTATTTTATTTTTAATTTTTTTTAAAATTTCGATTTTTTTCATATTTTTTTAGATTTTTTTTTAAAAATCCGACATGGCATGCTAATGTGGTAAAAAATCTATGTGGCATGCCACGTCAGTCGCTATATGGCGTACCACGTCAGCGGTTAACAGACACTTAACACCGTTTTCGGATTGTGTAGGAAATTGCAGTTAAATTGGGTAGTTCGTATATCAATTTGGTACATTTGATAATTTGATGTAGTTTTTTGTCAAATAAAAAATTCGTGTAGAAAAACGTCACATTTTATACGGGAAAATGTCATTTTCCCTATAATTAATAACAAAGAAACAAAAACAAAAATACCGGAATTTAATGTTATTTTAAATTGAATCAAATTATCACACGTCAAATACAACGCAAGATTACTTCCGCGTGTGCGCGCGCGTGAGAGAGAGAGATGGAGGGAGTGGAGCACCGGACGGTGAGAGGGATTGGCGGCGACATCCACGTGGCGGTGAAAGGAACCGAAAGCGGAGGTGTAGTCCTCCTCCTCCACGGCTTACCGGATCTGTGGTACTCATGGCGGCACCAGATCTCCGGTCTCGCCGCCCTCGGCTTCCGGGCCGTGGCTCCTGACCTCCGCGGCTATGGCGACTCTTTCGCACCGCCGGAGATCTCCTCCTACACCGCCTTCCACATCGTCGGAGACCTCGTAGCCGTCATCTCCGCTGTAACCGCCTCCGACGACGAGAAGATCTTCGTCGTCGGTCACGCTTGGGGCGCTCTAATGGCTTGGTATCTCTGTCTCGTTAGGCCCGACAAAATCAAAGGTCTGATCAATCTCGGCGTGCCGTTCAATTTCCTGCCGAAGGATCCTTCGCCAGCGGTCAAGCCACTCGACGGTTTGCGCGCGTTCTACGGCGACGATTTGTACGTCTGCAGATTTCAGGTTCATTTTTTTTTAATTCCGGAGAAAAGGGATGGTTATAGTACCTTCTTATCGCATTGATATTACTTTTCCGTAGCCGTCTTGCTTGTGCTCTTTTTCTCCATATATATATTTAACGGATTTGATTGCATTCCTGTTTATGTTTGATGCATTTTGCTTTTTCTAACCAATATGAACGCACACAACCAACGAAATGCTTATTTGCATTACTGTTTACATCATCCCACACATCTTCTTGGAGGTAGAGATCGGTTCCCTGGGAATGAAAACAGAGCCATATGGCCCATATCTATGTTGAAATGGTTACCGAATAGATTATAATCCGCAAACTCGATGTTTCGGATTCAAAGATTAAAACTCGCAACTTGACGAGAATGATATGGCTTTGATGTGGTTTTAGGAACCTGGAGATATAGAAAAAGAGTTTGCGGAAGTTGGAACTGAAAGGGTAATGAGGCGGTTTCTCACTTATCGTACGCCATGGCCGTTCATGATCCCTAAGGACAAAAGCTTTTGGGGTCCTCTCGACAGTCCGATCCCTTTACCCTCTTGGCTATCGGAGGAAGATGTTCAATACTATGTAAGCAAGTTCGAGAAGACAGGTTTCTCAGGAGCAGTGAACTCCTACCGCAATTTTTCACGGTATATTTATACATCTTCATGCCTTCAGTTTACTGTTCCGACCGTCAAAACCCTTCTTGTCTCTGTGTTTACAATCCTGTTTCGAGGGCAGTGTTGTCTTTCTGTTAGACTGTGAACTATCTTGTGCTAGATTGGACATTAGCTAACATGTTCAAATGCTGTTGTTAATAGGACAAGTGGTTCGATACCTTAACCCTTTAAAAGCATCTTCCACTAAATCCAATGCTGCAAGCAAACACTTGCATAGGAATGAACTACACTTGCTTCGTAATATCGTACTAGATCTTATGCTCTTAGAAGAATATATATATATTCAAAGGTTGTGTATGCATGTATGTACGTCCGTATAACGGTTTTTTGGGATGAACAATGGTCAGGAACGATGAGCTGCTAGGGCCATGGTTAGGGCTCAAAATCACGGTACCGACAAAATTCATAATCGGCGATCTTGATCATGTTTACCACATGCCAGGCATGAAGGAATACATCAACGGTCCTAAATTCAAAGAGGACGTACCATTGCTGGAGCCTCCGGTGGTTATGGAGGGAGTGGCTCATTGGATTAACCAAGAAAAACCGGACGAGATCCTTCAACACATCTGCGACTTCATCAACAAGTTCTGAAAACCGATTCGGTTTTATTAAACCACCGGTTAAACCGTCTGGTATATGTGCCGGTTTGTAGCTTGTGGCTGATTTCGCCGTGTAAGAGAGACATAAGAGTTTGATGAAGCCGTCGCCCTGTAAGCCTCACGAAATTGTCCTCGGCTTCTATGGAATTTCTTCCATTTAATCCTTCTCCATACGTTAATTAGACCCTCTCTCTGCATGTCGAGCATTTACTTGGCAGACTGAGACCATAGAACTCTATACTTTTTATCAGGTGTGGAGTTTCGGTTTCGGTTCTAAAGAACTGTACTGAATCGAAAAATGTGCTACTTTTTTCTATCCGAATCGTTCAAAATTTTTGAACGATATTATTTTTAGAAAACCGAATTTTTTGGGACCGAACCAAATCGAATTTTAAAAAAATCTGAAAATCGAATATTTCTAAAATGATATCTAATATTTTTTTAATAAAAATCGAAATCGAACCGAATATAATATAATAACAAAAAAAGCGAACCGAAGTATTACCGAACTTTAATGAGATGCTCGCCCCTATTTTTTGTTGCCGTCCTTTCTCATTTGTCTCTAAAATTTGAAACGCAAAATAATTTATTAAAATAGAAAATGAACCTATTGCGTATATCTCCTGAGTCAGATTATATTCGATTGAATCTTTATGAAATATGCATCGTGCGTGGGGATCGTGTAGATTAATTATAATTGAACCTGTTATGACTTATATGTGTGTGTGTGTATATATACAATGTATCAAAGAAAACAAAGGTTGACATTTCAAAACTTTGAGCTGTTTTTAGTTGTTGTTTAATTTCTACGCGCTTGTTAAAAACAACGATTCTTTTTTAATAGTATGACATTCATATCACAATATAACGTCCAATACGCTTGAACTGGATTTGGATGTGGTTGGCGGTTAACAAATACAAAATTTAACCAACATTTATTACAGTAAAATATGTATAATTTAAGAAAAAAATTAGGGACAAACCCAAAAAAAAACCCTTCAAATTTGCTAATTACACAAAAAATCTTTTATTTAAAATTCATCATAAAAAACCATCAACTATTAATTTTGAACAAAAAAACCATTAGCTATATAAATTATTTAAAAACAATCTTTTACTTTCAATTTGTTATAAAAAAATCGTCAAGAAAAAAATCAATCATCTATCTACATTACTCAAAAAATATTTTGTTTTAAATTTATTATAAAAATCGATAAAATTTGAATAAAAATATTTATAAATTATATAATTCTAAAAATCACAAAAAATATAATATTTATTTAAATTTATTATATTTTAATATTTAAAATTTATATAAATATTTATAAACATGAATATTTATGATAAATTTGTATACAAATATTACATTTAAAATTCATTATATTTTATTGGTTAGAAATATTATTTTTAAAATTTTATTATATATCAATATTTGATAGGTTGCAAATTGAATATATTTATTGGTTATAGATTTCTATATTTAAAATAGAATGTGTTTTGAGAGAATTTTTAAATAGTTGATGTTTTTTTATTAAAATTATTATTTAAATCTATGAAAAAAAATTAAATTGATAATTTGCAATCTCTAAAATAATAATATAAAATAAATATTTATAACCAATAAAATATACTCAATTTGCAATCTTTCAAATATTAATATATACTTTTTTATATTTTAATAATTGATATTTTTTATTAAAATTAATAAGTGATCATTTTTTATAATAAATTTAAAGTAAAATATTTTTTAAATAATTTATATAGTTAATGGGTTTTTTGCTCAAAATTAACAGTTGATGGTTTTTTATGATGAATTTTAAGTAGAGGATTTTTTTTGTATAATTAGCAATTATCCAGAAAAAAATACTATATTCGATCAATTAGCTGGATATAACACATTCATGAAAGAGAAAATTATCCAGAAAATTGATTATATTATTCTCCACGTTATATGTTATCTTAGATCTGTATTCATTTCTAATGCAAATTCATAAAAAAAAATGGTTGATCTTTCATTTTAAAATATGTGTAGAAAGACAAAATATGTACAAAAATGTTATTAGAGAATGAATGATATAGTACTCGAGATTATAATATTTTTTAAAACAATTATCTATTCTGTTCGCTAAATATAATTTTTTTACATTGTTCAAATGAATGATATAATTTTAATTTTTTAATCTTTGTGAGGTTATTTTTAATATTTTGGGATTTAGGGTTTGTGTTTTTACATTTTATGATTTAATGTTTAGTGTTTGGAGTTTAGGGGTAAATTACGAATAATAAAATGAGAAAAAAAGGAGGAAAAATTATTCAGCTATTTTTCCAGTTTTATGAGGATATAAAATTAATCAAATATTGAAATTTTTAAAGAAAATAAAACTACTGGAAGAAAGGAATCGAAGGTCAAATTTGTCACGTGTTAGACGTTTTCGGATCGGAACGGAGATTACTTTTCCTTCAAACCTCGTTCGTAAAATTTAATACTCAAACTGTTTTTCGTGCATTTTAATTAACGATTTTATATTAATTTAAAAAAAATTAGCATGGTTAAAAAAAAGACCAAATTGGAACGTACCAATTGAATTGCATGTGGCATATGTATGAAATATGAATGCATTAATTTGACTTTTGCACTTCGAACACTTAATGCAGAAGAACAAGACAAAACCAATATATATAGTTTATTAAAGTAATTAATGAACATATCGCGTAAATGATGCCATGACATATCTCCTGACTCAAATTATAATCGATTGTTTCTTGATAAAATATAGAACGTGTGGATCGTGTATATTAATTATAAAAGAAGATGCTATTATAATATTAATTATACATTTACAAAAAAAAAAAGAATATTAATTATATAACGTGTGGATCGTGGATAGGCAGCCGCATGCCAGTTCATAACGTTGAGCTGTTTTTAGTTGTTTTTTTTCCATTTCTACGTTCACACCACATGAGTAATTTATTTATTTATTTTCTTTCGATAATTTATTTTCCCATTTTAAGGATTTTTAAATAATACGAATTTCTTTTTAAAAAAATATGACACTTATATTACAATCCCATGACGCCCATTTAGGGATGTCAAAATGGGTCGGGTTATACGGGTCGACTCAACCCGACCCAGTTATAAACCCAAATGGGTTAGTCCATTTGGTTAATTTTTTAAAATGGGTTAAATGAGTTTTGGCCCATTAAATCCATAGGTTAAATGGTTAACCTATTAAATTCATTATTATATATTTAGTTAAAATTAAACTCATCTTTTAACTAATTAAAATTGTTATATTGAATGGATAAACCAAATCGAATATTAAAATGATAATTTCTAGGTTATATGAATATACATATTAATAGTTATATGTATATAAGTAATTTGTGAATATAAAAATGGATTTATATGGTTTATACAGGTTTAATGGGTCGACCCAACTCATCCACTATTATTAACGGATCGACCCAACCCAACCCGTTTATCCTTCAAATCCAAATGGATTGGACCCAAATGGGTTGGGCCAACTCAATTGACATCCCTACGCCCATTATGCTAGAATTGGATTTGGAAGTTTGGTGGTTAGTCATATAAGAAATAGAAAATTTACAGGGAAACTGATATTGAATTTAAGAGTAAAATATGCATGACTTGAGAAAAAATCATTATGATATATATATCAAATTAACCAGAAAATAGATTAGGGTTCGCATTGTGTTGCCAATGGAAAATGTTATATTCGATTAATTAGCCGCGTGTAACACATTCACGAATGATCAAACCTCTATGTTATATTTTATTTGGTTCTATATTAAACAGAAATATAGATTAGTATGTTATATGTTATTTCGATCTTTCAACAAAAAAAATGTTATTTCGATCTGCATTCGTATCATCATACATTTATTTTCACATGTTTTGTGCCATTACTCTGATAGATACGAAATATTTTCTAAAAGTAATTATATATATTACCAAAATTTTTGTTTAAAAAGAATTCTTAATAATCTTAATTTCAAGTGGTCAAATTAGGTGATTAGAAAGATTTTGAGAAAGAAAGAGGATATAACATTATACTCATCCCACAATTAATTTCAAGCAATTGCTTCTAACTAAATTCAATATATATCTATATACTATATAACTTCTATATGTGAAAATAATAATCTTTTATAAAAAAAAAATCTAATATATTTTTCTGACGATATTAAAAAATAAAAATTAATTAGGTTTGTAATTTTTGAAGAAAATAAAACTATTGAAAAAATGGAATTGAAGGTCGAATTTCTCATATATAGACATTGTGGAATGGAGATCCCTTTCCCATCTGTGCTTAAAATTAAATATTCAAACTATTTTTTTCGTACATTTTAATCAACAATTTTATTTGTAAGTTAAAAACCAAATTAGCATGGTAATAAAAAAAAACAAATTAGCACGTGTCAAATACAAAGCGCTCTATATAAGAAGACTCCTCCTTCCGGTACATAGACACAGTACTGAATCAAAACCTTTCTGTGCGTGTGTATGTGTGAGAGAGAGACATAGAGAGAGAGAGAGAGATGGAGGGAGTGGAGCACCTGAAAGCGAGATGAGGTGTCCAACTACAATAATAAGTATTAAATCCAAGAAATAAAATAAGTGTGTATTGAGAAAGATGAGACCCACGATGAGAAAAACTACATCAGAGAAAAGATAGGGCTACCGAGCCGTAGCTCCTGACCTCCGCGGGTATGGTGACTCCTTTGCGCCCACGGATATTCCCTCATACACCGGCTTACACATGATTGGAGACCTAGCCGCCGTCATCTCGGCCGTAACCACCTCCGAAGACGAGAAGGTCTTCGTCGTCGGTCACGCTTGGGGAGCCCTAATGGCATGGTATCTTTGTCTCCTTAGACCAGATAAAGTGAAAGCTCTGGTCAACCTCAGTGTGCCGTTCAGTTTCGTGCCGAAGGATCCATGGCCAGAGGTGACGCCAATCGAACAGCTGCGCAGGATCTACGGCGATGATTTGTACGTCGTCAGGTTTCAGGTTCGGTTTCATTTTTTTTTTTTTTTTTTAAATAATCATTTAACCAATGTGGACCAACTGAAGAAATGCTTTGTTGCTGTTGTGGTAATAGGAACCTGGAGATATAGAGGCAGAGATTGCGGAAGTTGGGACTGAAAGAGTGATGAAGAGGTTTTTCACGTACCGTACGCCCTATCCGTTTATTATCCCAAAGGATAAAAGCTTTTGGGGTCGTCCGGACATCCCGATCCCTTTACCGTCTTGGCTGTCGGAGGAAGAAGTTCAATATTACGTAAGAAAGTTCGAGGAGACGGGATTCTCCGGAGCAGTAAACTCCTACCGCAATTTCGCACGGTATCTTTGATATCCATATATGCCTTCAATTTCGCACGTCAAAATGCTTGTTGTCTCAGTTTTATCTTTAAAACCATCTTACATAGTCCAGTCAGTCAGTGAAATGGGTGTGTTTAGCATATGTTTCACCCCGAATTCGAATATTCACATGGATTTTTCCGACTCCTGGCATTAGTTTTGGAATACCCGGTTACCAAAAAGCAAAACTTTAAAAGCATCTTCAACTAAAATCCATATTTCAAATTGTTACAACACTTATTTTTATACCAATATTGTCTTAGAAGAGTCCATAACCAAACGGTTGCTACGTATATATAAGTGTGTTTTGATGGTTCTGAGGATGAACAATGGTCAGGAACGATGAGCTAATATCGCCGTGCATAGGGATCAAAGTTGCTGTACCAACGAAATTCATAATCGGGGATCTGGATCATGTTTACCACATGCCCGGGATTAAGGAATACATTCACGGTCCGCAGTTCAAAGAAGACGTTCCGTTGCTGGACCCGCCGGTCGTTATGCTAGGAGTGGCTCACTGGATTAACCAGGAAAAGCCAGACGAGATCCTTCATCACATATACGACTTCATCAGGAAGTTCTGAAAACCGATCGATATGATCTCGATCGGTTTTCTTATACCGTCGGTTTAACCTTCTGGTATATACGTGGGTTTGCATCCGGCTTTGTTTTCACTAATAAGAGTTTAGTCCAAGGTCTTGTAAGAGAATGATAGACCACGTGCTTCAATTCCAACCTTGTTACTGTCAAAACTCTGTTTTTATTCTGTTAAGTTTGTTAATCTGTTCGAGTTTTATGTCATGTTCCACTTTGGTCCTTCTGTCAAATAAAAAGAAACGATGGCACTTTCATCAGATTTGTGCAACTCATTTAATATTAGGGAAAATAACAAAAAAACATTGAACTTTACAATTTTGACAAAAAAAACACTGAACTTTTTATTTTATCAAATAAACATTAAATTTTTTAATTTGACAAAATAAACACCTAATTATTCTACGATTGTCAAAATAAACAAAATGAATGACGTGACCTAATTAGATGCAAACACGTCAAATTATTTTACTTAGTTTTTTTTACAATCGGAAAAAGTTCATATATTTTTTTGGATCACTAAAAAAGTTCATTGTTTTTTTGATAATCGCAGAAAAGTTTATGTATTTTTTGGATCATTTAAAAAGTTCAGTGTTTTTTTTAGACTGGTTTAAAAAGTTTAATATTTATTTGACAAAAACTAAAATTTAGTATTTTTTTGTCAAAATTGTAAAATTCAATATTTTTTTTTTGGATTTTCCCTTAATATTAATATTCACTTACTTTAACATAAAAGGGTGTGTGGACTTCTTTGTCTTTAAAGAACCAAACTTGAGCGTGTAAGCAACTGAAATAAACAAAAGCCTGATCGGTTTATATCAATTTTATAAAATGAAAAACATGCAGTTTTATACTTTGGATTTTTCCCGTATAAAACCTAATATAAATTATAATGTAATATAAACTGATATATATTAATGCGCATGTTCTTGGTGTGATTCACTTTTTTTTTTGTGAATTTTTTACGAGATAAATCTTTCCTTTACTCAAGGCACAAATGATCATAAACAAATTATAAACATGTATCGCCGCAGAAATATAAACATATAAACCTCATCATGGAGACAAAAATCAGAGACAAATTCAACAAATCTCAAAACCATGGCACGGTCCAACCATATTCATCACAAACACAATGGGGAAACCAATATAGAAACGAAAATCTGCATAAAAATTTAAAATTATTCTTAATAAAACACGAAATTACGCTGAATATTGACGTATTCCTGCACTAAAAACAGATATAATTTTTATAAACCGAATAAAATCACACAGTGACCGAAACATTGGCAAAATAATACTCTCTCTGTTTCAAAATATTTGTTGTTTTAGATTGTTTCACATTTTTTAAGAAAATAGATCAAAAGTCACATATACCCTTATTTGATGATAAAAATAATACAATCATTAATAATATATTAGAATTTGATAGATATAAAATTGGAAACTATTATAAAAAAATGTCTTGAAAATGTAAAACTACAAATATTTTAAAACATAGAAAATAATCTAAAGCTACAAATATCTAAAACTACAAATATTTTGAAACGGAAGGAGTAATTGTATTTTACTAATTATGACTTAAGGCTCAAACTTCGATAATATACTGATTGCTGCATTGGCAAGAAACGAAAGGAAAATGAAAAAAGCATGACAAAAAGGCTCCACTAAGTCCGAACCATAACCGAAAGAACTATTGTAGGGGAAAAAACAAAGTCTGAAAGACAATCACCAATGGCCTCGGACATCATTTTTGGGAACGTGAAGAGATGTAGTTTTTTTTTTAAAATAAAAAAAAAACTCACATCCTGTCTTCTCTCCTCCTCGGAGCACATTTGATGATCTCGTCGACCCGGAGAATCATCTCAGCCGCTTCTGTGGCCGAAAGCAGAACGGCTTGCTTCACTTTGAATGCTTCATAGATTCCACGCTCCGCCATGTCTCCGACCTGTAATGGTTTTCAACAAACCACCAAAGCTCATTATCGTTAACTTTCTCGGTTAGTAGTGCAGACACTTATCTAATGGGGATTAACGCAAATGTGATGGTGAAAGTTTAAGTTTAAAATGGTTAACTGACTATAAATGAGGGGTTTGGCTTAGTACTTCATCGGTTTAAGGCGAGATATTTTGGTTATTGTTACTTACAGATCCGGAGATGACATCAATTCCTGCAGTAGACCCTTCATTGTGATGCTCTGCACGAAGTTGGGCAACCAGTTCTGCACTGTCTAGACCGGCGTTGTCAGCAATGGTGGTCGGGATAGCAATGAGCGCATGTGAGAAAGCTTCAATGGCATGAGACTTTTTGCCAGCAGTTTTCCGTGCCAGCTCGTCCACTTCCTTCGCCATCACCATCTCTGGCCACCCACCCCCGAGCAGAACCCTGGTGTCGTTCACAGTTTGAGAAAGTACACACAAGGCATCGTGGAGTGACCTTTCAGCCTCATCGAGAACATGGTGGCTACAAGAAGAATGACACCCGAAAAGTCAGAAAACATCCCATGAGGGGGAAACAGTAAAGAGGTTTTTACACTTAACCTGAGATGTCCACAAAGTCTAAGTAATGTTGAGGAAAATTGTTACCTAGCACCCCTTAGAACGATTGAACAAGCCTCACCCATCGCAACACCAGAGAAATGGATCAGCTTGTCCTCACCAATCATGATTTCTTCGATGAGTTTGCAATGTCCAAGCTTAACAGACTCTGGATTGTCAAAGGTGGAAGCTATTTCACCGCCTGTAACCAATGCAAGACGTTCTATTCCATCAAAGTCGGCATGCTCAATAGCAAGTACACCAGCATCTGCAAAGAGTTCCTCTGGGAAATTGTAGATCAACTGCCTATTAACAAAGCAGTTGATTCCATGGCCGAGGATCTTCTGAACTTTTTCTCTCATCTTTTCCTTCTCAGCCCCTTCGATCTCAGCAACCTTGGACATGGAATCCACACGCACACGTGCACCATAGATTTTCACTTTATCAGTATCCATTGCAGTATTAGAAACCAAAATCTTGGCATTCTCTATGCGCTTTGGCTGTCCAATTCCAATCTTCTTATCAAGAATGAACCTGAAAGAGGTAAATTTTGGTTTGAGTTGTTACAAAACAAAATATCAGATGGTCAAAGAAGAAAAAGCAAAAGCACAGATAAGTATTTACTTACCCTTCATCCAGAAACGAATCCATCAAGGAGCCTCCGGGTTTCTTGATGATTTGAATAGACTCTAAGTTTGTGCTTCCCTGTTCGAACACCAACTTCAGAATATCAGAAAGGGACACAATTTCTTGTAGCATGCAGTTCAAGGCAAAGTCAATCCATCCAAATGATTTCAGCATAACTTTGAGGCATTTGTTAACCGAAGATCTTGCTACATCAAATCAACATCAATGTTCCAGAAGAAGACAACAAAGAGGAGAGAACCTTAAGCCTCAAAACAGCATCGACAGCCATTTGCGCAAAATGTTCCTTGTCCTGTGAGAGAATTTTGGAACATAAAGTGGTCATTGCAATCTTCATCAAGTCTGACCTAAATTTTTCTGCACAGGCACAAAACACAATAGAGTACAGATCTCAGTGATGTTGCCAATTTAGGGGAGGGCAAATGACAAAAGAACCACCCAAACTCAAAATTAGGATAAATAACAATCTTATATGGACCAATAAGGTTCACCGTGACAAAAACAAATAACACCTTACTTCACTATGCCAAAAGTACAAGGTTTATCTTGGTACACATCAATACCTGCATCCTCTTTGTTATCCATAACTCTTTTCAGTAAAGCATTACGAGCACATTCTGCAGCCATTCGGTAACCTAAGAACCCAAAAAATGATGCACCATGGTCATTACGGCAAAACATAGATATGCAAATATACTCTCACTACTGAAACTAGGAATCCAGATGCTAGAAACATACCTGCTATTATCGTCATAGGGTGAATCTTTGCAGCCACCAACTTTTCTGCCTCCCTCAGAAGTTCACCCGCCAAGACAACAACAGAAGTTGTCCCGTCACCAACCTCATCATCTTGAACTTTTGAGATGTCTGAACATCACATTCAATGGTAGAAACAATGATCAAGTTCCAGGCTTTGTATCAAACAAAGAATATGCAGAACTAATCAACAAAACAAACGCAGCTGAATGCATTACCGACAAGAACTTTAGCTGCCGGGTTGTCTATGTGCAATGACTTCAAAATGGTGGCCCCATCATTCGTGACGGTGACTTCATGTCCTCTACCAGTAGATTGTAAAATTTTATCCTGTTGAATGATATTCCGAGTGGAAGTCAATATTAACATGAATCCAAGGACATTTGAAGAGCACCTAATTCCAAAAAATAAACAACAAAAAGTTATCAGAAGTACCATCCCCTTTGGCCCCAAGGTAGTCTTAACCAAGTCAGCAATCGCCATTGCACCAACAAATGATGCCTAGAAACAATAACGTTAATCAGAATCAACAGAGAAACAACAAAATGCATCTGTAAACTGAAGATTGTTGAGAGAAAGCTCACCATCCTTGCACGCTCTCCCTTCTCTTCACTAGCTTCATCTTTAAAAATCTTGTCGATCTAAAGACAAACACGGAGTTAAATGGCAGCAAAAGAAGATACAGGAAAAGCAAAAAAGGCAAGAAAAGAAGAGGAAGTACCGCCATTGACAAGAGGAGAAAAGGTGTTTTTCAATGCACAAGATCTTCAATCTGCAATCAGCCAAAGAACAGAAAACAGATACTCAAGCTAAAAGAGATGTAAACAAGTAATAACATCAAATGCCCAGAATCAAACACACATCCATATAATCGATTCCATTGTCTTTTCCTAACTACAGAAATATTTCATCCTCGAGAAAACAAACAGCCGTAATAAGAACATAGACCTAGCAAAAGATCCATAGTGACAGAAACAAAAACAAAAGAGACGCAACAAGTAATAACAACATGTGCCCAGAATCAAACACCCACATCTGTAAACGATGCAATTGGTGTTTGCTAACTACAGAAATGTTCCATCCTCCAGAAATCAAACAGCCAAAAAAAGAGCATAGACCTCATAAACCCTAAGAATCCATAGCGACAGAAACAGGAAATGAGAACCCAGAAGGAGAAGTAAGATTCACAAAAAGAAAATGAGACCTAACCGGAGACGACGATGAAGAAGAAGAAGAACTCCACGATCGATGGCGATGGCGATGGCGATGGCGATGGCGATGGCGAGGGCGAGACCGACGGCGATGGGGAGAGAACAGTCTAGGGTCCGGCAAGTTCACTAAGAAAATGTTCTTTTTAGGCGTCCAGGTTTTCTTAAGGAAATGGAAGGGCGTTTTGGTAAAATCATAGGTTTGCTTTTTCCAAAATTTATTTTTGAGAAAATTTGCATAAATGTAAAAAAAAAAAAAAAAAAAACCGTTTCTGCATTCTATGCTGAAGTAAGGATAAAAGGTCCTGGACTCGGAAGAGATGTGGCATTACGAGCTATTCGTAGAAGCGGCATACGTTTAAGTTTCGTACGAGATGTAACCCCTATGCCACATAATGGTTGTAGACCCCCTAAAAAAAGACGTGTATAGAAATAAAAAAAGGCTGAAAGGGTTTCAAGAGAAATAAACGATTCAATGATCTAATCAAATCAAATTACTATGGTTCGAGAGAAAGTAAAAGTATCTACTCGGACACTACATTGAAAGTGTGTTGAATCAAGAAGAGACAGTAAGCGTCTTTATTATGGACGCTTTATTCTGTATCCACTTATGAAAGGTCAAGCCGACACAATAGGTATTGCGATGCGAAGAGCTTACTTTTACTATTGTAATCTTTGTATTCTATACTTTTTAAAGTTAAAATACTATCATATCTTTCTATATTATTATAACCTACAGATTTTCTACATTTATAAAAAAATATTTGCATGAATTTCGTTTTTCTCTACATACATGAAAAAACACTTATATTGATTTTGTTTTCTTATATAAATATAGAAAAAACACTTACAGATTATTAGGTGCGATACATGTCATAGGTGCCTAAGATGACCTGCCGTAGATAACATGTCATCTGGCAGACCGTAGGTCAGCTGCCGTAGACTGTAGGTCATTTACTGCAGAGCGTAGGTCATTTTTCACAGACGGCAGGTCATCTTCTACAATTTTCTTTTATAGACATTTCATCAAACACCTTATGTGCATACAAAAAATGATCAGAATATCACAGAAAAAGAAATCAACCAGAAGAGTATTTGAATACATTGGATAAACTGTAAGAAATAGAGAAGATATATAAAATGTTGGAGACCGCAAATCATTTGCGGTATGTCCGCAGGACGATAGCCGCAGGTCCGCAGGACGATCGCCGTAGGTCCGCAAGGCGATAGCCGTAGGTCCGCAGGGCGATCGTAGGCCAAATGATCTGCTGCAGACCGCAGATTATTTGCGGCATATCACAGTCATCTGCCAGAGACCATAGGTTATTTAACGCATAGTGCATGTCATTTTTCACAGATCGCAGGTAAGATGCCGCAGTTTTCTGGTACAGACATTTCATCAAACAACTTATGTGCATGCAAAAAAATTATTAGAATATCACAGGAAAAAAACAACGAGAAGAGTATTTGAATAGATTAGATAAACTATATAAAAAATAGAGAAGATAGAGAAAATATTGGAGAAAAAATAAGATCAAATAACAAAGCGTTCCGATTTCTATAAGATAGATTGTCACAAAAAATGATCATATGAATACTATAGAAAAAGAAATGATGCAGAAGAATATTTGATTGATGAGATAAACGGTAAGAAATAGAGAATATAGAAAAAATATTAGAGAAAACAGAAGATCGTAATCGTAGTTATATGGTCGTAATGAGTCGTAGTTATAGTTATATGGTCATAGTGAATCGTAGTGAGTCGTAGTTATATGGTCGTAGTGAGTCATAGTGAACCGTAGTGAGTCGTAGTCGTAGTTATATAGTCGTAGTGAGTCGTAGTCGTAGTTATATGGTCGTAGTGAGTCGTAGTCGTAGTTATATGGTAGTTATATGGTCGTAGTGAGTTGTAGTCGTAGTCATAGTTATATGGTCGTAGTGAGTCGTAGTCGTAGTTATATGTCCGCAGGTCCGCAGAGCGATAGCCGCAGATGCGCAGAGCGATAGCCGCAGGTGCGCAGGGCGATAGCCGCATGACGATAGTCGCAGGTGCGTAGGGCGATAACCGTAGGTCCGCAGGGTGATAGCCGCAGGTCCGCAGGTCCGCAGGACGATAGCCGTAGATCCGTAGGCCAAATGACCTGCCGCATACCGCAAATCATCTGCCAGAGATCATAGGTCATTTAACGCATAGTGCATGTCATTTTTCACAGATCGCAGATCATCTACCGCAGTTTTCTGGTACAGACATTTAATCAAACACCTTATGTACATGCAAAAAAATGATCAGAGTATTACAGAAAAAAATGAACGAGAAGAGTATTTTAATAGATTAGATAAACTATATAAGAAATAGAGAAGATAGAGAAAATATTGGACAAAAAAAAAGATCAAATAACAAAACTTACCGATTTTTTAAAGATAGATTATCATACAATCGTAGAGAAATACTGTAAAGGGTAGTTTGAGTATTTAGAAAAAAAAATATATTATGCAAAAGTTATTTTTTTGTGAGATATTTTGCAAATTTCGTTTTTGTTTTGGTACAGTTTGCCAACTGCCCCTTCATTTTTTCCCTTAAAAAATATTATATACATAGAACCATTTAGCCGAAAGATGATGAAAAGACAGAGATGATCTATAAAACTAATATTAATTTTTAAAAATCTATAATAAGAGTATATGTAAAAACATTTATGCAAGACAAATTCAAAAACTAAATAGTTAAATAAAAAACCCAACCAAAGTTTTTAGTGTATTTGTTCTTAGGCTTTTTGGTTTATTTCGATTTAGACAATTTTATTGTTTCTGGTTCATTTTGGTTTAGTTTTTGATTTAGTATAACAACTCTGACAGCTCAATGAAAAATTGAGAAAATTATCCAAGATTTCCCTTATCGAGCAAATTCAAATTCTCTCGAATTTGGAATTGTAAAATAAGTGCACAAAAGACCCACCAAGTAAACGAAGAGACCAATCATTCATTTCCTTTCAACACACTGGAATGGAGAACTGGTTTTTACACAGCAAGTCTCAGTTCAAGAAACTCCTCGGTTCTGAGTCTCTGCTCATCGCGGCAAAAAAAAAAAGAAAAAAAAGAAGACTTGTACCATAACAGAGTTCATTATCGAAGTATTCACAAGTGACAGATGCTTACTGTAATGGAATAGGTTGGAAGTTTAGTGATCTGATCCTCTGTTTTCAAGTACCTCCCTTGTAATAACTCATATAGATTACTTACGTTGCGATCGGAAGCAAACCTCCGGGTAAGCATGACGGCAGCGTTTCTTTCTCGCTCAGACTCCAGAGCTTGCCAATACATCGCCTGAGCCGCAACATTTCCACCTCCAATATCCCATGAATTCACTGTTGTTATGTTGGGCATTGCTGTAAAACCCGTTAAATCTTTTCGGTCCTTTGTTCTTTTTGGCACAATCTTGTGCAGTAAACTTTACTTCACGGGTCAGATGCCGTCTCAAAAAATGCGAATTTGAGGATCGAAGGAGACAGGTTTAGGAGAGAAAAAAACAACAACAGATTTTTAGTTTATTCATTAACTTAGTTGTATTTTCCATTTTAAAACTTTACATTTTAATTTACTTAATTAAGTAATAAGTAATTTTATCAAAATTTAATTTAATTTGTAAAAATTAGAATTGGAGTTGTTTTATTAATAAATTAAATAACTGAAGAACTAAAAATAGAAAATAAATACTCTACTAAAAATAAATATTTCCCATGCAACAACATATTTAATATATTTTTTTTAAAAATTAAATAATTAGAAAACCACACCGTTTAGTGCCGAACTGGGTCAGACATTTTTTAGCTTGTTACAAACAGTTTGATCTTTTTATCTAATCCTAATTTTTATGAATGATTTTAGACATTATTCATAATGATTTTATATTTTATTGGTAATGGTTTATATGAGTTTTTAGTATTTTTACGGATTAAGACATTATTGGTAATGTTTTATAAGATTTTTTCAATTGATTATTTTAGCACGATTTATTACATTGTTTTGTATTTTTTTTAGCCCGCGAACCGGCTCGTTTAGCACACAAGTTTTAGCGAGCCAGTTCAAGCCGCTTGATTTCAGCCCATTTACAAACGGTTCGGTTTGGTCTGAACCAATAAAATGGCACGCTTGTGACAAATCGGGTTGATCCGAACCGGCCGAGCCCGTTTAACCTTAATAGATATTAGAGAGTGAACATTTCGATATTTAAATTCATTCTAAAAATAATTCGATTTGATTCTTTCGGTATTACAAAAATATATACCAATCAATTATTAGACCATATTCGTTTTTTATTACGGTTTGATTCTATTTTTCTTAAAAAATAAATCGTTTTTAAAAAATTCGATTTGGTTCGCCGAAACATCGACCCTAGATACTAGACCGGTTTCCACGCCCCACTTGCCAAAGATTAAAATAAGACTTCCAAAAAAAAGGGAGGGGGGGGGGAATTTGGATTAACAAATATAGTATAAGTTTGGGAATAAAATAACACGAAGCAGATATCTGACATTACATCAAATCGCGTCAGGGATTTGTCAAA